GATAGATAGATAGATAGATAGATAGATAGATAGATAGATAGATAGATAGATAGATAGATAGATAGATAGATAGATAGATAGATAGATTGATTTCAGCACCGGACAGCGCCATTCCAGCACCGGACAGCGACAATTTCAGCACCGGACAGCGACAATTTCATCACCGGACAGCGGGATTTTAGCACCGGACAGCGCCTAAACTACTAACACAAACACTTCTGCCTAACTCAGGCCTCCCTGTTGACTTTCTGTTTGATGTTTGAAGAATTAGAACCTGCAATGAGGCACACCAGGCCCAAATGATGTCCTTTCAAGCCGTCCAGGCGAATTACGACCACAACTGCCTCATAAAAACACCAAAAGCCTACCAAACACAGGGCGTGGAGATTTCCCTTTTTGAAAAAAAAATAGATGCCGAGCACTTGAATGGGCTCGGCACCAAATTTGGGAGCAAATCTAGCTTGGAAACGGCCAGAAGAAACGTTAACAGGCCCGATGCCACGCTTGGGTGACATGTGTGTCGGCACCAGGCCATTTCAGCGTCATAGCTGCCTGTTGTATGGGAGGAACGACAGACGGGGATGTCACGGCTGCCCTGTGTCCAAGCCAGTCCATTAAAAAATAGCTTACGTCTGCCTATACTCTTTGTGATGAAGAAGAATAGCAATAGCTATGTGCCAGACAGGAATGTTTTTGCTACTTCAGTTATACAAAATTACATAATTGGTGGTTCAGCTTTGATGTCTTCAGCTGCTGTTCGTGACTGAGTCATTTATACATATCTGAACTCTTACAAACACTCATGATCGGTTGAAGGAAACAGGCAGCTGTGCCAGCATCTGCCGCCCGATGTGTTTCCATGCACGTTGACATCGAGGCAAATACCATTCCCATCAGAAGAGAAATGTTTTTAGATGGGAAAAAGCGGGTCATTTTGAAAAACTTTGCAATGATTTGTAGTTAGTCACATGACACCCACAAAATGTCCCCCCACAACATGAGAGAACTACTGTTTCTGTGCAGGTTCAGCTTCATCCACATGGTGGCACTAAACAACAGCCTTGCTCACTTTCCAGGGCCCTGAAACAAAAGGGCAAACCTTCACAGTGGATGAGGGCAGAATTACGACATAGAGGGTAAATGAAATTATGAAATCAACTCATCTTATTAATTACTAATCACTCTTATTCACTTATATACTCTAAGACGTCCCCCACGACCCCATTAGGGAATAAGTGGTTACGATAATGGATGGATGGATTTTAAGACGTAACAAATCAGCTCAGATGGCAAACATAAAACTACCTCTGGTCTAGGTCAAACTTCTTCATCATCTTTCCTCTCATCTTCATGTTTCAGGGAAGTCTGATTGTTTACCGTCAAGGAGAGAAGTTTGGAGAGAAAAAAAAACAGTCAAAGACACAGTTACACAGAATTAGGACATTTATTTCTTTTTTGTTTAAAAGTGCCTTTACAGTACCCTCATGAGGTATACAATTTTGATTAAATCCAGTGTACAGTATTGTGAGGTTATCAGTGGTTTAATGAAATGTTCTGTGGAGTTTGTATGGAGTGTTACACGGCATGAGCACACAGCCTTAAAAATCGTAATCTCATAGTTCAATGTGATACAAAAACAGATAAAAAATGAAATCAGAATAAAAGCTAGGTGGTGATGAATTTCTGTTTCTTTTGAATGGATCATTTAATTCACAGTTGTGGTCCTTTTTCTTTCTTTTTTCTCTTATTTCCTAATGTTCATAAATCTTAGCTAAATCTTGACAGCTAGCCCCTCAAAAGAAGCCAAATCTCTCCAGAAAAGGTGCAATGAGTGTCTTTGTCCACACCAGCAAAGGAAAATACAGTCAATAACTTGTGACATGACTGGTACAGCACGCCACGGATACAAAGCTGAATACCCAAACATCAGAGTAACATCAGAGTTCAACAGTTTGTTTTTGACTATTAACCATTTACTGATGGGAAAGGAGAGAGGTGAAAGGACTGGAAACATTTGTGGATGTGGGCATCCAACCCCTGTTCTTTCTGAGAGTTTGTGAATATATGAGCACAGCAAACATGTTTGAACAGGAAGCATTAACACTGTGTAGACCATGTTTTAGATGCTGAACAACAATGTGAAGACATCATAACACTTTGGGGGGTTCATTGTGAAACTGCAAAGTTTCTGCACTGTGGACCAATGTAGGTATAAGAAACAGGTTCTTCTGAGGGATCAGGTTAACATAAGACTAAAGCAGAAAAGCCTGAAAACTAAGTAGAACGTCCCTGGTGAGGTTCTCAACCATCTGAGATAAACTTGTCTATATATTGCTTATTTTCTTTTCCTGCATTTGTGAAATACCCCTAAAACCCGGTTGATTAACAAAAAATAAGGACCTGGGACATCCCAAACTCTGAGGTTTGGATCAAGGAGTGATATTGCACTGCTTTTCAACAAACACAAGGGAATCCCATTGGTGCCAGGTGTTTTCAGTACACCCACGACACGGGAACCCACTGCGGGGTGGAAATGGCGCGCTCCATGGCCTCCTCAACCCCTTTGACGCTTTCGTCCACGTCGTTGTTGATGAGGACCACATCAAAGAAGTGTCCATATGTGGTCAAAATGGCGTCCGACTCCTTTTGGATCATCTGCAAATTTTCCGTCTATGAACAGAGAAGTTACAGAGGGTTAGGGATGTCTGGCTCACTGAATGTGGCGTTTTGAAGACAGCGGGCAGGTGTTAGACGCAGTACCTGTGGAGCTGTGTTGGTAGGGGCTATGAACACCACCAGGGGGGCAAAATCAGCAGTCCGCACGAGCTTCAATGTCTGCAACAAGCATTAAAAGTTGAATGAAATGCTCTCAGGCATGAGAATTATAACAAGATTATCCCAAAAAGACAATTGATTTTTTAGGTGGGTTTGAGAAAGGCTTTTGCCAAAGAAATTAAGAAAGTTATCAGCAGCCACGTACTGTGGAAGGAATTACTACATAGCTTTAAGGTTTATTAGTGCAAAGTCCTCTGACTTTGCTGTTCTGGGTCCAGAACAACGTGTCGGTGCTGACCTGTGGCTCTATATCCAGCACAGCGATTTTGCCCTGATCGTGGATCTTGTGGATGGTCTCAAATTTGGTACCGAACATGAATCCCTGGAAGCTGCCATACTCAAGTAGCTCATTTCCTGAGATGCACTTGGTCATGGCTTCGTTTGAGATGAAAAAGTATTCATGGCCGTTCTCCTCATCCTTCCTCTGGGGTCTGGTTGTGTCTGGGCAAAATGAGAGTTGAATAATGAACCCACAGACAGTTCAGCAGCTCTGAGAGAAGAAAATAAATACTGCGTCTACTTACGGGGGGCAGGGTAGGAGAATTTCTCTGGGTATTTTGTGAGCAGAGCACTTTTAATGTGGCTCCTTCCTACACCAGGTGCACCTAAAAGAGGAAGATTAACTCATTTTTTGTCACTGAGAAAAGCACGTTTTCGTCATGTTCAAGTTCACAACTTCAAACAGGTGCACTGTACCTGTAAGTATGAAATATATCATTTAAGGCTGTATGGGTTAGAGAAATTCCACCTATGATGATTAGAAAAGGCCTCAAAGGTGCCTGAGTGGGGAAGCTTACCAATGAGCACCAGAGTTTTCCTTTTGAACGCAGGGAGCTGCACAACTTCTTCATAAGAGATCACATCCAGCTGATCAAAAACTGCAACGGAATAAATATTTTGATCAAATAAAATGATGCTTGATAGCAACCGAGTGAAATTACTGGGATAATAAATCTGGTGTTGCACTCACTCGAGCTGTGTTTAGCGAGGTATTTGTCTTTGCACTTTTTTTTCTTTCCAAACGGACTGCAGGACTGGCTGCCCTCCCTGGCTTTGCTTTTACTGGCCACTCTCCTGCAAAGAAAAATACAGATTTATGTAAAACTGACCCCTGTGATGGACAGAGGAGTCTCATGCTGCATGCTGAAGGATGACATGCGTACCATTCTTGGAGCTCTGGGGAGGGGATCAGTCCAGCAAAGTCCACGGCACTGCTCTCCACTCTGCCCTGCCACCAGTTTGGATCCTGCTTGTTGATGATCTGGATGATGTTACCAGTCTGAAACTTTAGGCCGGCCTCTTTGCACGGGATGAGCTCATCTTTGGTGGGATCGTAGTCAAACTGGGCCCTCATGTACATCTGCAGATTGTGACCGAGAAAAGTCAATCCCATGACTGCTATATCATCAATAAACCATTATTAGAAAAACTCTACACTTGAGCTGAAAGTAAAATTTTCTCCCTTTCTGTTCCCGAGCACAAACTTTACTTACCGTTATACTTTTAAATATTTAATTTTGACCTGGAATAGACAGCATTATATTTTTCTTTATTACAGGGGGTAAGAAAGAATGAGCCAAGAATAAAATCTGCTGTTACAGACCAGCAGAACCTGATCTTGTCGAGAAACCCCCCCCCCCACAGCGTCACCTCTAATAAAAATGGTATACTTGTATTACACTTTTATTAATGGTAAAATTCACCCTCAAGCAGAATTAAATGTCATAATAATCTCGAGTCACATTTAGCTTGTAAAGCTATTTGAAAAATTCTTAATTGGGACATGTGATCCATTCATCAGCATGTCACACATTTGTATCCAACTGTTCAAGTGCAAAACTTGATTAGCCTGACAGGCTCGTCAGGTTTTGTGAAAATGTGAAAATTCTGCTCAGGGTAAGTTAGAATGGCATACTTTCCAAAATATTGGGACAAATAATCTTTAAAAAAACATTGTTAAATCATTTAAGCAATCTATTGAACTTAAATAGGACAAAACAGCATATTAAATATCAAAACTGCAAAACTTAGAAAAAAAAAAAAAAAGCCTGGTGCCCATACATAGTTCTCAAAAAACAACTATGATTAGGCAGGTTTAAAAACATAGATGCTGTTTTTTTTATTTTTAGAAACAACATCATGACAACGGTTTTTCAGCATTAATATATATGCTGTTTTTTTTGTCATTTCCAATTTGGATTTTCAATGAAACAAAAGGGATTGAATGACTACAAGTAACTGCAGTAACGTTTCTCTTCACATTTTCCACAGGGTCCCAACATATTAGAAAATGTGCTGACATTTGTGAACATTTGTAGTTTCCCCAAATCACTCCAGTGTTAGTTACTGCTGTCCAGACAGGACTGGACACCCCTAATGGGAACAAAATGTGGATTTGATGGAGTGGCTTGGGTCAACACAGGGATGTTCTGTAGGCATTTAAAGCATCTGAAACTAACCTACATGTAATATTAATGGACTACAAGCTGTAAAGTAGGTTGCCATCACTGACCACAGAAAAGAAATGAATGCAGAGGTGTTATTGGTTAATAAATATCCTCTTGGGTCATTAGTGTATCATATGGAGGATGTTTTGAATTTAAAGCGGCCATTTTCATGCCCCATTAAGCATGAGAATGATTGGAGATGCATGTTGTGGCCAGTGAGTGGCAGCGTGAAACACACTACCAGCGTGTTTCAAACTATCTACACTTAGTGAGTGATGGGCTTTAAATTTGAGCTGATTTCATATTCACCTGGGCTGCTCACTGACTAAGAGAAGATTCCCCTAAACAAAATCATTTCAAACAGGGTAAGTGGGAGGAAAAACAAGAAGCTTGGAAGTAAAAGCATTAAACCTCATCCCTGAATTAACTCTGAATGCGACTGAAAAAATCAGTAAAGAGATTATTTGTGCTCCAAGGCCAAAGCTGTGCAGGTCCTTCTGCTCATGTTGTTACCTCACAGACTCTGGATCGATTCGGCATCTTGGGAATGATCTTCATAGTGACCACTCCATTGGTTTCTTTCTGCATGTGAAGATGAAAACGTTTTTAATGCATATTTATCCAGATTTGATGACTGATGAACCAAAATAGGACATAAGACTAGAGTTTACCAGAATCTTTTGCAGCTGATCCACAGTGTGGTTTGTCACACTTTTTCCATTGATTTCTGCTATTTCATCCCCTTCATTCAAAGACCCTGCAAAGAAAAGACGCAGCCTTCAGTATCTGGCATTAATCCCGTTATCCTTGGGTAATTCATTCACACTCTGATATCACATCATCACGGGACCAGTAACCTTGTCTGTGGATCATTCCCCCGTGCAATATCCTGGCCACCGTGCACCGCTGTTTGTCGTTCAGCTTCAGAGTGACCCCCTGCCAAAGGAACAGCACAGACGGTGAGAAAGGGTCGGCTGCTCATAGGTGAAACTTTGCAAACTGTGCACCCGCAGATTTAGGAGGCCTACCATCGGCTCCGAGGGATTCTTCTCAAATGCTACTTCTTTCATCCTGGTCAGCTCTGCACCATTCATGTGTCCAGCACAGCCGTTAGTGTAAACCTCAGCTCCTTTACTCTCACAGGTTTGCATACCTACCTGCAACCAGAAAAGAAAACATTACATTTGTTGTATTTCCTCTCTCATATACAGGAAACAAAGTATAAGCATTATGTAAGCATCATCGTAGCCTATTGCTGCCGTTGTTCAGTCGATCTGGACAGATCCCATCATCGTGTCCCCTGAATTTCTAATAAGCTTTAATGACTTTCTGCTCATGTGTCCCAACAGCTGGGATTCATTTGCAGCTTCAATGTATGTTCAAGGTTGAAAATTAACCCAGCTGTTTAACACCTCATTAACCATGTCCAGTCAACTGCTTCACCGGGCCCATGTGGTCATGGATACCACCAGGGGCATCAGGTGGTCAAGGTGGACAAAAGCACTGATGTACGAACACAAACTAAAAGTTTTTTTAAAACGATGAAGAGGATCCAGTCTGAGCTCTCCCATTTAAAAGAGCCAAAGGGTCTGTAGACTCCCACGCCCCTCCAAGAGTGGGGACTCTTCACTTTACAGCCATCTGAGAACGACTTAAGTGTCTCAGGTACAAGATAAGATACATGCTAATGACTCATAGCGAGTAAAGGGCAGCTCCGTGGAGAACAAAGGCTCCTTGGTATATAAAAAAAAAAGTTTAGAAATTAATCACTGAGCTATCATCTGAGACACCTGCATCAGCACAAAGTTTCTGCATTCAAGTGACACATCAGTGCAGCCTCAGCAATATTAAACTATCTGTTCTGTAGCTTCAGCTCAACAATAAACCAATAAATATCACTATCGCCCTCCTCCTCCACAGCCATAACCTGTACAGTAGGCACAAAGGCAGCTTGGCACAAACCCGAAGGAGAGTTTCTCCTCCTCCTCCTTCTTTACTTCTGCTGTTTTAGATCAGGACTGTGCAGGAGGCATTTAACTAAGGTCTGACAGAAAGATGAAGTGACCTCCTCTTTGCAGCAGAGAACACCCTGAGGCATCAAAGACCTTTAATCTGCAGACACTTAAAACTTGACGGGATATGAACCAATTACTTCTAATAATTTAGTAAGATGAAGGTTGTGTTAAAGGATGCAGAAACCCACCGAGTGCTCAGTTATCTTTGATTTATCAGATTCACATTCAGGAATGAGAGTTCATTCTGTAATGTAAATATTCAAATGTTTGCTTTTTATCAGGCTATCACAGCTTCCCCCCGACCCCCCCCCCAAATTTACTATGTTTGTGATTGGCGTAATTTAAATCACATTATAATGACGGCTGTTTAATCAGGATGTTGACAGTGAGCCTGTTAGCACCTTCCCCATCAGAGCGGGAGTGGAGACAGACTTGATTGATAGGCTTTCTTTTCGTTTATTGATATCAACTGTGTTCTGTAATTGCTAGCAATTGTTAAAGTAAGTGGCGTCAGGAAATCCGTCTTGGGACCTTGAATGCCTGTTTTAGGTGTGGAGGAGGAAAACGGGGAACAAAACCAATGGGGAATGGAGCCTCAGAAAAGCAGTACATCTCTTCTCAGGATTTGACTATTACTGAATTCTAGAGCTTTGTCTTGTGATAAATGGGGTTAAAATCTCCCTTCAAACCATATTCATGGCTTTTCTGTGTGATCTAATGGGCCATTACACAATCTGACAGTTTTAGATCAGATCAGTGTGTTTCAGGTTCAGTAAATTTGATATATTAGTCCTCCACTGTGTATGTTTTCTATGAGTTATTGTTTCTGTGTAATCTTACACAACACTGTACCCATGTGTGGCAAATCAGGGTCAAAACAGATATAGTTATGGTTACTGGGATAGCAGGCTGGAGAAATAGTCGGCAGTTGATGTTCATGGACATTCTGTTCTCCTACGTAGAGGTGTCTAGTCTTCCCTGTGATCTTATAGGCCTTAAGGTTTAAACAACATTTTCTGTTCCCCATGGTTAGTGACGGGGAATGGAATGACTCAGCTCGCGTGCTGTGTGGTGAGGAGTTCAAATGTAGGTCTGTTTTTGCAGGGGAAAAAAAAAAAAAAGCCCAGCTTAGGCCTTCAGGCAGCGGAGTCCAGAGCGGCTGCAAACAAACCCCAGCTGGAACAGGCTGTCTTGCTCTTCCCATCTCCCAAATCAAAACTCAAGATAAAAAGTTTGCCATTTATTAACACTCGCCAAACAAAACCGCTTCCCCGGGGAGATAATGGGAGCTCAGTTTCGGCCACTTTAGCAAATCCGCAGAGAGCCCAAACGCCCACTGATGTGATCGTAGCTGTAGGCCGCCGAGCTGCAAACTGCTGATATCAGGAAAGAAGTTTCCTCCCTTCCCCATTTCCCTCTCTATCAGTGCTGACTTCTCAAAATCAGGGAAGACACACAAGGCACACAAGTACAAAAGAGCCAAATCTAACTCCCCAACAGCCTGTTTCTTTCCAAATCTTCCATACTGTTTTAAAACCATTTTCTGGTTATTTTTGTCAATGTGTGTCACTTCCAAATATCCCAGCCTGGTGTTAAAAAGAAAGCGGGTGTTCTTGTAGTAAACAACCCCCCCCTCCCTTCACAAGACAGCTGAAACCAATTCCAGAGCAAAGGCTGTAGGCAAAGTTACACAACAGTGCCTCGAAATCAGTGTCACACCGTTACTGGGCTCCATGTGAAAAACAAACCTAAGCCTGCTTAGGATCATGTCTGTTACGCTGACAGATGCTGGCTGGAGCCACAAGTATGCAGTTTCTCACATGAGAAGGAGACAGACGTATTTGCCAAGAAATGCAGAAGTGAAATAATCTATGCAATGTCCATGTGACTGGAATAAACTGCACATGCAGAGGGGGCTCAGACAGACTTGCTGATTTGACCAAACAGATTTAACTGCAGTGTTCCTTTTTTTTTTTTTTTTTAAAGAGATCGACACTCATGCACGGAAACTTAACTGGGTCTATTTTAAGAGATGTGTTCCAGCTCTAAACAATGATGTGCCCCACATACCTGCGTCCCGGAAGCATGTCCTCTGCCATCTAAAGGGAAACGTTAAAAAAAAAACATGCACAAACCGACACCCTTACCTTGTCAGACTTTGGTTTGTTTTGGAGGAGCTGCTCCAGGTAGAGATCTGAAAGGGCTGTTCGGGCGCTGCTGACCGGCTCTAGTATGACCGCGGGTTCGTTTTTATTGGATTTTAACGTCATCTTTGCTTGTGAGCAAGAAAAAAAAAAGTGAACCCGATGTACCCCCGTTCAAGGTCCGCAAGACGCTTGATGAAACTGCTGATAGGGAGCCGTGACGACGAGATAAGTCACTCCGAGTCAAAGGTCCAAGGTTTTGATCAGCAGCAGGGGAGGGACATGAGATAGCTGCTGCGGGGACACCGCTGACAAAGCAAGTAAACACGCCACTGATTGCTGCCGTTCCGAGGGGCTGGCTCGCGCTGCGTTCGAGGACTGCCCCAAAGCTCCCAAATCCCAGCTCCCAACACGTCCTCAGCACACTTTCAACAGTTTCATTCAAAATCGCCAACAAAATGGGATATCTAAAAGGAGATTAGCGTATAATACAACAGGGCTACTATACGGGTTAAGAAAAGGATTCAAATATCAGAATAAATAAATATAAGGTCAGCAACCATTTGGCTTCACACGCGGCAGCCCCACAAAAGTCCCTAAATATCCCTACCGGTCCCGAAGTAGCATTACCGCAGCGTTTTCTGTGGGGCTGATCTGTCAGTGCATGAGGAAGCAAAACAAAGCCGTACAGGAACACCGTGATCCCAGCTGCAGATGTGCGTTACAGCACCCAGCTGCAGTGTGGGCCACATTAAAAAATATGGCTCCCACAATCAGAGGGAGAGTGGCCTGATACTATTACAAATACACAATCAGACAGGCAGGGCAGAGCCTATTTGAAACAGAATGGCAATGCGTACAGTTTTGCATTTTACATTGCTGGTGAAGCGCAACACCGAGTCCCAAAGAGAGTTTGCACAGGAGACAACGCCCCGTCTCACAAACAACACAATGTTGGGCCTTCAGATGTAGGCCAAGGGGCACACGGTCTACTTCCACATTTGTGCTCACGTTCTATCTTAAGATTTGAGTGTGTCTTTACTCTTTAAAATGACACTCCCTGTTGCATAATCTACACGGTACTGCCAACTTCGAATTTAGTAGTTTAACCATGTTGTGTCTGTACATAAATAGGCATAACACAAAACACAGCTCCATTATCAAACTGGTAGGGAAACTGCCTGGACATAGAAGGATCACATTTTTCAGAATACAACAAAAAAAACAACTAAAAAACACATTCACTAGGGAGAAAAAAGGAATAAATACTTTGATTGTATGCCTCCAGCAAAACAAACAAAGTAAGGAAAAGGAAAAGGGTGGTCAGCCAGCTGATAAGTGAAAGTTCCTTTAACATGTTATTGCCTACAGAGAACTCCAGATGGAGACATGGAGCAAGTTTGGCTCAAATGTTCATCTGTAATAGGCCCTTTAGCTCATTTAATTTTTAGATACTGAAAATGTGTTTTTGCTCTTCTTTTAGCATGGAAAATAGATATCTACAGAAACATATCAATGTACATTAAGCCATTTCACTCAAATTGTCCTGCTGGCAAAGGATTTACATCAATTAATGTCAGTGGCTGATAATATGTGGCATGAATGGGACTAAAATCAACTTGGACACATTGGTACAAAAAAAAAAAAAAGCAAATGTAAAATTTATCCTCTGGCTCAACAAACTACTGCTTCTGCAAATCAAAAGAACTAATTTTGGCCCAGATCAGTCTGAATCTTAATTCAGTTTACTTTAATAATGAAAACACTCAGTCGATCATTTGGAAATTTTAACAAAGTTCAAATTGGCTCCTCTTCAAAATTAAAACAATGGAAAGGAAAACAAAAGAAAAGGGAAAATAGCATCCTTAAAATGAAAAGTGCTTTTTGAATTATAGACTTATGGTGTGGTGTGAACACAATCCAACAGAGCTAGCACATTGATTAGCAATGTCATAATGATATGATAGTTACAGCTGACTGATTCGATTTATGGAATTAATTAGTTTTCTTTTCATTATTTTTTTCTAGCAATCAATATCATCCCATTTTCCTCTACTTAAAAAGACATCAGTTTTATTTATGTGAGTCTAACAGCGTGAGTGACAGGACATAGTTCTTATCTTTTGTTGCTTAGTACATTTGAATAGCGGGTCCAAGTCTAGACTAATCAAGTGTACACAAAGTGAGACAAAATAGAAAAAAAGAAGACCTGCAAGCTTGAAAATACTCTAACTAACTTTTAATAACTGGAACTTAAATGAATAATACCACTAAATTCTATAGAGTACATTTGGATTCCCTCTTAAGTTTGAATGGAACTATTGTCCATGTGTTACTCTTTGTTGGATAATAAAAAAATAAAATCCCATTAATGGGTGTACCCAGCATTATATCTACTTTTATTCGTTTCAATTTCATGGGCAATGCAAAAACTAGTTAATCAATTAATGGACTGATGCTATCTGGTTAACTTGACCAATGGTATCCATGACGGTCAAACAGGGGAACAAAACAAAAAAAAGGCCCTCACATCCGGGTACTACCGGCCAGCGAAGCACGCATGTGCAAACTTAAAATTCACTGTACTTGCAAACACGCAATTTAAGGCACAAGTACAAGACGTTTA